GCTTCAATTTATTTGGCAGATGCGGGATAATTCGATTACGATGTTGTCGAGTGTGGAGAGAGAAAGAGGGGAATAATTAATTACGTCGTATCGAGTAGTTGGCTCCAATTACTTGGCTTTTCTGCGACGTTGTTTTTCGCAAACTGCTCGACGAGAAAGGCAATCTGGAACCGCTCGGCGTTCTGTTAAATTTTAATTGAAGATCTCTTCTGTCCGCACATTATATAAAAGTCTCCGCTTGCTGGCTAATTTGTCGAGAGAAGAAGGGCCACGTAATGCCGTTGTCGTACAAGAATTCGCACCGGAGAAGCCGAAGGGAGAGCCGCAAGATTCTCGCTCGCTCTTGCCAATGGTTGCGATTTCGATGAAGAGAGAAAGATGCATACCCGAGAGAGAAGCTGCGGCTTGTGAAAGAGGAGCGGTCATCGAGGAAAGGCAGGCGAGCGAAAAGATCGACCACGCATTCAATCTCCCCCGGTCCGCCATCTTTCCAGTATAAATCGCGCGTCCGCGTAATTGGTGGCTGCCAGTTTGTTGTAATGGATTTACGAACATACGTCTTTTAAAAAACGCACAAATAACAGGATTCGAGCGTCGCTGCTTGAGAAACGTTGATATTCCAGCTACCGGTAAATCCTATCGCCAACAAAAGAAGGAAGGAAAGGCAGAGGGAAATAAATTGTTGTTTACGCGTATCGCGTTTCGCGAAAATAGATTAAGGATATAATGCAGTAAGGGCGAAGCTAAATGTCTCGATTATTTTCCCGTAGATGATATCGATGACGCGTGATTAACCCCAACTACTATTCAATTTTATTCTAAACACTTGTAATCCTGTTTATAAAGGTCGGTCGCAACGTTACATGTGCAAGATCTGTTCTTGGAGGACTTCGGCTTCTCCGGGTTCTTTCGCTCTCGCTCTCTCCCTTCCTTCCCTTCGTTCACGCTTGTAAGCGTCCGTGCGTGTTGACGCAGCCGCGATGCGGATGCGTCGATAAATGACCATTTTTGCGTGTATGTATTGTAGATAAATGAAAGAATATATATATATATATATATACAGCGTGTAAAGTTTGAAAAAAAGGATATGCAACAAAAGTCAGACAAGATCAACCTACGCACTTTTAATAAGCGCGTGCAAGTTAATGAAAACAGAGTATCTTAGGTAGGTATCTTTTCCAAATCTGATATTTAAAATTCTTTATTTTTTCTTTGTGTAAGTGAATAGCATTAAAAAAGCACACAGTACAAAATTTATTTGAAAAAGTTGCATCTAAAATCTCTAAAAAAAATCTCTTTGTCCGGAATTTTCAACAAAAATATCTTTTTTAATGCTAGAAAAATCAGGGAATGGTTATGGGATTTTATTGGGACTTTTTTTAAAAGGAAATTAAAAAAAAATCTCTTCCATAATACATTTAATGTTTTAACAAAATACTAAAAATATACAATACCTATATATTTTTCATTGTAATTTTTAATGGTAAAAGAATAAACATTTTATACATGTGAAAAATAATAATCTTACACAGGTCATCGAGTTTTTGTCACATTTTCTAAATTTAATATTTGAAACTCATTATTTTTCCTTTATATAACTGAATAGCATTAAAAAGCACACAAAAGCTTATTTGAAAAAGTTGCACTTAAAAATTCTCTTTTTCCGGAATTTTAAACAAAAATACCTGAAAGATCAGGAAATTTTTTACAAGATTTGGGTAAATATATCCTGGAGAAAATAGTTTTCGCACAATATGCTTTGTCGTGAGGTCTCCCTTTGCATAAGATTCTTGCGATTATAACAGAATAAAAAGCGAATATCGAATCACATTCTTTGCCGATTGCATCACATTCTGTCGCTACAAAGATCTTTACTTAAGTTATACATGGTGAAAGTTGTATGTAGCCGAGAATGCTTTCTATCTCGACAAAGTGACGAATCTTGTCAATTCCGTGAGACAGATTATTGGTAACTATCTCTCGATTAATCGTCACGATAAGAGACACTGATTTATTATTCTTAGAAAATATCGCTCGTATTTTTTTTTTCTTTTGCGATAATGAAAATTATCAATCATACGATAATAATACGATAGCAACTCTTCAGCATCCATTTGACCTATTTAATTACAATTTAAATTTAAATACGTTCTCATCCAAAAATAAAGAAAATACTTTATGTTTTGCATTAAAAAATAAAATACATTGCCGACATATATATAAATTGTTTCTTTTTTTTAATGTAATATATTGAATTTTTCGTATGGAAAAAGAATCATGTGATATTTAAAGCTTGAGAGAAAGAGAAAAATTAAATCATTATTTCAATTATTGAATTATGTCGACGATTACTTGCTATTATCGATCATTTACGAACGTCGGGAAACTTTGGCGATTCAACTTTCCACGTATGAAATTAATGTTAGATCGCGGCCAAGCGGGATAGCGAATATGTTTCGTTCAAGAAATCATGCCAATACTTAATGTCTGCTATTTTCCGGACGATGATGTCGAATAATCGAGCTTTCGCCACTTTTATGTCTTTTTCTTTCACGAAGAGTAGAAACCTACTTGAGCAATGATATCATTACGCAAACCACAACACAATGGAGGAATTTCTTAGCTGATGACGCGTTTGTAAACGAACTTGGAATTATTTAACGTCCATTCACGTGTCGGCAATCGCTTGAAGGAAAATACGCAGTCTCGAGCAAAAAAACTCTCCGACGCCGGGATTCGTACGGAATCCAACACGGCTCGGCTTCTCGAAGGGTTGCTTCGCCAACAAGCGCGTCGCGGAACGATCGGCGACAAGGTGAAGACGACACGAGGGAGATAGAGCCATATCACGGCGACTCTTCCTGCACAACGACATCCGAAGGGTTTTCGCGGCGGCTGCCGCGGGGGTGGAAGCGAGGTCTTAAAAGGTTCCGGTGGGAAACCCAGCAGGGCGTGAATGGCTCCAGACACACGCTGGAGGTGCCCGGAACGTTTCGTTAGAGGCGAGAAAAAAAAAGAGCGCGCGTCGAAGAGGACGACGTAAACACACACACACACATATATACAAACACACACACACACACACACACACTATCAAATGTCGCGTGTCGTTATGCGTGAACGGGGACATGTGTGCGCGCGCACGTAACTCGAAGTTCGCCACCACATACCACCGTTCGCTCCAACACCACCACGACGAGAGTGTCCGGAGTCTTTGTTCGCTAAAGTTGGGTTTACCTCGTTCCTTCTCGACGATCGCGTCGTCCCTTCTCCCTTCTATTTTTGCAACGCAAAGTCCCGAGATATTTCTTGTGAAAATACGCGAGCATATTGACGCGCGCGGAAAAATCGATGAGCACGAGATTGTAAACAGTACGGCTCGAGATGTTGCGGAGAAGCATTCCCTCGAATTTTCTCACGAAGACAATTATGTAAATTCGCGTTATACATAATTGTCGCACTGATTCTAGGTACGATTCTTTCGCTTGTTCCTTGAAATTAAAGAAATGATAAATAATCATATGACGAAGAACCATCATATATTAATGGTCGAATTTTCCCAAGTAAACAAAGAAGATCTAAGTGAATAATCCCTGAGGTACTGCTTAACGACCGATAGACAGTTTTATCGTACGATGAATAATTCCATCAATATGTGTGTGCGCAAAAACTTGGCCGGGAATCGTCGCATTTTTCTAAACGCACCGTCATTGAGATTGATAAGCCCAATGTCGCGTGGGCTTTTAATAATTCACGAAAAAGAGAGAAAGAAAAAAACAAACACTAAATAAAAACACGAAGAAAAATCGTTTGTAGAAATAAATTCCTCGTCGATCCTCTCGTGGGCGTTTTCGACGCGATCTACGAATAGAAAGATCTATATGTGAGCGAGTCAGTGTTTTCCGGAATGTCTCTCTCTTTCTCTCTCTCTTTCCTCCTCGATTCGTGTAACGGAATGCGAGAGAGATCGGAGAGGAGGCTTTATCAACGCGGATATACAAGCCGACTTGCGGCGGCGGCTCTAGAGCCTCTCGAAATAACTCCGCACCCTTGCCATATTAATTACCGGGATTCATTCCGTCCTCATTTACAATGAGCTAATTTAACGTGAGACAACCAACCTCTGCGTGCGAGCACGCACATGATAGTGATGTCTTTCTGTTTATACAAGCTTTACGGAGCAATTAATCATGGGGGAATAATCATTCACGATTATTCGCCGAGATTCTCTTTTGATAGGAATGAATATAGTATGAAATCTACATTGTATTTATCCGTAGTATCTTTTTGTAACAATCAAGATGTGATTATATCGAAGTGGAAGACATTCAAGAAATCATAAATCTTTTTCTCGCCATTTATTTTGCCAAAATAAGGCCACTAATAACGTTACAAATCTGTGTTTATTTTAAATTCTGCCAAAGAAATTTCTCTCTCTAGATCAATTTTCTCTTACAAGATATTCTTCCAGAATGGTTGTCTATTTAAATTAATGAATTCACATTGTTCGAGATTATTACTTTATACATATATGCAACATCTGCGAATTGACTTCTAATCGGTCTTTTTACAATTTTCGCATTTTAAAAAATGTATAAATATTTACTATTCAACACATATTCATGCTTGCAAATATCGGGAAGTCGCAATGTAAGTTGGCTAAAAAGACAACGAAAAAAAAAAAAAAATAGATTTTTTTCTCTAGTCATACATGCGTATGTAGTACACGTGTATGTCCTTATCACGATATGTTTATGCATATTTGTGTGCGAGCAGCTACTATTTTACGTGTTATTTATATGTATCTGTACTGTAAGATAAAGAGAATATAAAATGAGAATCCGAAGAAAATAAAATTCTCCTACACACAATTGCATATACATATATATTGACTCGAAACAAGTTGGAAAAAATTAACTTTGCAATTTCGCGAAGAAATATATGGAATTCGTTTATGTCGCGCAATTATATTATGTTAACCACCGTATTTCTATTTTCAGCTTCTGGTAAGCGGTGGGCAGCCAACGACGGCAACGTCACCGGCAATGTCATCGGGGAGCGCGTTGAGTCCGGGGGGCCTGTCGCCCTCGTCGACGGCAACAACAACGACGGGGATCGGGCCAGCGGGCACTGGCGGCGCCACGACCCCCGTGGGTGGCGCAGCAACCGGGCCCGGTTGCTGCGAGAACGGCAGGCCCATGATGACGGACCCCGTGACGGGGCAGACGGTGTGCAGCTGTCAGTACGACAGCGCCGCGAGATTGGCGTTGGGCGCTTATCCCCGGCTAGGGCCCACCGCGACCTCCTACTCATCCTATCCCACGCCGACACCATCCACCACCGATCAAGGGCCTTACCCCAGCATCGGTATGGACAGCTCCGCGTTCTACCCGCCATTGGTAAGTTTACGTTTATTTTTGACAAGTAAGATTCATCTTTTTTTTTTAACACACAACTGCGTGTTATTGCGTCCTACGAGAATGGAAAATCTAATAAAGAAAAACAGGAAGAGATTTTTAATACTCGAGCCAACAGATCTTTCAGATTCAAAAACACCAACATTTGCCATAAAAGCTTAATATCAATTAGTACGATTGAAATCATCTTTCTCGAATCTTTTAATCACTCAGTGAATCTTTTTGACTGGTTCGTGATATATCAAAAAACTTCATCAAATTTATAGTATTATGCTAAAGATTAATTTAAAATAGGGGAATTAAAAGATAATAATATCGTATATTATATATTTTTATTATATATATAATATATTGATTATATAATATTATATATTTTTTATTTTTAATTATATATGTTTTATTATATATTTATTCCGGAATTAATATCGATTCTTTCCCAAACAATCAACAATCTGTTGACATGCTCTAATTTAAGTTATGCTCTACTACATTAAAACATATCACAAGTTCCTCGTGTGATCTATGAAGGATCGACCTGCGCTTCAACGTGCTCCACAACGTGTAAAGCGGCCGTTGCCGGATGCAGATTGATCGGTTCGTCGTACTAAGCGTACCGGCCGATTATTGCTCCTCCAGTATTAACTTAAGACGGATTAGCACGTGGTGTTGCCGCGAATTAGCTTGGAATCCCGTCGACGGTACCCTCTTTCGGACGTCGGCCCCTCGGTTCAGGAATTTGAACGTCTTTGCAGGCTGCCGGGTACCGGCTGCGTCAAATTATTCACGCGTCCCTTTCTCTTAGAAGCGGCCGATAATCTCGTTTAAGTTTCGCTTCGCGGAAGGCGCGTCGCTCGTTACGTTTTCAAGGGACTGCCTACGGTGACGGATTCGTGCGCATACGTCACCAAAGATTTCTTCCCAACCGAATGCACGTTCCTTCTGTCCTGGCTGTCTTAGAATTGTCAAGAATCTCGTAAAATGTACGTTAAATCCGTTTTACGTTATAATACTGATAATATACAATACCTATATATTTTTCATTTTAATTTTTAATGGTAAAAAAATTAAAATTTTATGCATGTAATTTGTATGCATTTTATTCGGAATATCTTGCAAAGAATTGAACATATTATATGGATTAGAATTGTTTAAAAATATAATGTTTATTTGGCTTTTTTCTTGGATGGAGAAACTACAGATATTCTATTATAATTTGCGTAGGATATACAAAATTAAAAAAACACGATCAGATTATTTTTTTCTCCCGTGACCGGAATTTCGTGATCGAGAAAATGGAACATGCGTATCGTTGATGAGCGTATTCGATGCCGTTTCGAATCGGAAGAAAGTGCAGCAGCCAATTAAATTTGAATTTATCGGGTGATTATACTAATTGGCCATTTTTAGACGGCGTTGTCGATTAATGATTCTTCGCGTGGCCAGCGGTCGGCGAAACCGAAATAGAACCGCCGCCGGAGAAGAAAATCCAGGAAAAAGGAATCGTTACAGCGGAGTTAATAACGATATGGTCGGAAATCGTGTTCCGCGTTTTACATCGCGATTCGATGGCGCGGGGATGTACACCGGCTGCGATTCATCGCGTGTAATTTGTACACGACTTATCTCGTAACGGAATTCAGCGCGAATGCATTTATCATCCCGAGACATTTCTCATTTTTCATATGCAATTAGTAATACGACATAAATTTGTAGACGCAATTTTTTTTAAACCACACACGCGCAAAGATCCTCCATCAATCAATCCTTGCGACGAGTCAATTAGAGCAACGATTCGCATATTTATGAACCGTGTGAGTGGACACTCACGGGGAATAATTGAGATATCATGACAATTTGATAAAAAAACTAGCCTACCTGTCGAGAACACTACTTTTGTACGCGTGAGTGTATAATTATCGTTAAAATCAACTTTCATAATAGCAATGTGCTATATGTGTAGCACACATAATCTATCTGTAATAGCAATTTCCGTAATGGCACGAGGCGGCGTGCCATTGACGTGCCGTAAATGTGTCATTACCACGTATCAGATACGTATACGGCTATCGCTACAATACATTTTCATTTTCGTCATGCTTGTACGACTGAAAAAGTCATCGGCTTTTTGATGTCGCCGCGTAATCAGCACAAGCTGGCAGATAAACATCGATACGGGAGAGAAAGAGAAAGAGAGAAAAAGAAAGAGAGAACAATCCTTATTTCAACGACAGTCGCGTAAAAATTGTGATCAATTCTGCGATTTTATATTCTTGCAACGCGCGAGTATCGCGACTCGATATACTTATCCTGCAAATTAACTTATTATTAGAGCGCAGCGATATCATAACATATTTACGATCTCGGACGTAGATGTCGAGATTTACTACACTATAAAATGTCCTGTGTGTGTTATTTCACAGTCACTTTCACATGATAATAATGTCGCGAGATTAATGCAGTAATTAAATATCTGGTGGATTGCAAACGCGCGCTAAGATCTAGATCGCGGATTTGTTATTAGATCTGGATGCTTGTCGCGGCAAAAGAGAATCTGCAAAAAGAGACAGATCGATATTAATAACGTCAGTTAACGTTATTATAATGATATTTATTACCGATGATAGCGCCTATGTGGCAAGTATGATGCAAAAAGAAAAAAAACGTGGGTTATTTAAATTAGAATATCAAATGCATGATGTATGTTTTATATAATCTATACATTTGTTTCAATATTCCGATTTCTTGTTAACATCGTGGCGTGCTTTTTTTTTTAAACCAAAGTCATCGTATACGATACAATATTCTGTATACGATACACATCGCGAATGCATGTCGAGTGAGATTATCTTTCCCTCTCTCTCTCTCTCTCTCTCTCTCTCTCTCTTTTTCTCTCTTTTTCTCTCGAACGAATCGGCGACGAAGAGGCGGACAACTGCAAGGACGAGAAAGAAGGAGAGGAATACTCATCGCTCTCGCGTAGAATGCGAACGAGTTTATAGAATCAATACACGGGATGTGCCGTGAAACAGGGAGACGGGAGAACTATACCGGGGATGCCACGGCGACGAGAGTGCGCGAACGCGAGGAAGGATGAGAAGAGGACTGCCCGAGATAGGGGAACGACAGTAAACGCGAGAGCCTCTTCTCGTCAGTTGACGGATTTGTCCTATTTCAGAAATTTTCAAGATTTTTCCAGATACAGCATAGATTCCGGTTAAACTGCCCAGATTTATTTCAAATAGATATATGTTATCACGGTAGGAAAAAAAATTAGGAATCTCACTTTTATTCCTATTTTCGATGTAGAATCGAAATAGAAACGATTGCGAAAATTCATATCTTTTTTTCGCAGGTTATAGGTGAAGTAAAATCAATATACTTTTGGAATCGTAAAAAAAAATTTCATTGCCGTCGTTGCGATGATAATTTTTGACCAACTTTGTTAATCTTTATTAATTCTATACCAAAATGAAGATATGCGGTTAAATATCTCCAAATATCGAAGTAACGAATAATTAGAATATTGGCAAACTATATTTTCTTGGTTCTTTAAAACGCTATAGAAAATGACAAATTGACTATCAATGATGCGCGTGACATCAACGACGTCAAAATACAAGCGGCATATTTAATGTCCGTCATTATGTCTTGTCGCTCGTTTTGGCGAGATGTCAAGCGATCTGGTTAATAACGGGAATGTGTGCTTGCTATCCTATAATATTAGCGTGACAGCGTGATATTATGCACGAAACGGATACTCATCCAACAAAACCAGGTAACACACAATAGCAACATTTCGCGATTGTAGCAGCACGCGTGTTTCATTGCAATACAAAAGTCGTAATGTTCCGATTCACGATGCCGTGTGTTATTTTACGGCTCATTGAAAAGCGTAACACGCGTAACTTTCTTAATCGTAGATTGTTACGCTTTAATAATTGGCACTTAAGCGTGTTTGGCATGCAATGTCGCCACGTGCAGTATGCGTATAGTTTGCGCACGTATACATCCGTGAATTATACGAGAATTATGAAACTGTTGCTGAGTATTTTTGTATCCACGAGTTTTCGTGGAAAATGGTATAAGTATATTTATGATAAAATATCATAAATATACTTATACCATTTTAATATCTTCAATTTTCTCATTTTTTATATAAATTTAAAGAAAGCATTTATTTATCGCGTGAAAAATGAAAAGAGGCCGAAGTTAAACTGCGCGCTTCAATTTTTTTATTTTATTCTGAACATTTCCAATAATAAAAGTTTATCTTCATCTTTTTCAAGTAATTATACTTTTTTAAACTTAGAGCGAAACAACTGTATTTTTCTTCTTCGAACTTCAAACTTTCTGGTTTTTGAAACTGTAATTAAAAGTACTTTTTATACATTCCTGTTTACATCTTGTTTATAAATAAGGATAATAAAATTTTATTGTTGCATTATTACTTCTAAATAATGTCTGACGTATTTATTGAAAGAAAAAACATCGAAAAATTTAATCTTTGCAAAAGTTACAAAGAAACGAGATTTGCTCACGTATACCATATCCATTAGGTAGTTTTCGGTACACAAGTCATATAGCAGTGTGGATAACACAGTTCATCGTTGTGTTGGTGTTTTCACGTGACGTACTGTGTGGGATAGTCGTCTCCGAGTCGGCGAGTTTCGATGTAATTGAGACCGATGAGCGTGGATACGCGATAAGCCAAAGGACACACAACGCAGCGATGCCCTTCGCGTCGCGCGATCCTCCCTCATGCGTATTGGTTTATAGTCCTGAGAGACCGAGCGAAACCCCACGACGCACGGACGTCATAGTTTTGCACCTTTATCGGCATAAATTGCAGTCCGGCCGGTCAATCGTTCGTGGAATTTCAACGTCGTAGGCGCAATTTGGTGCACGCGACCCACCGGCACGCTTGATACGACAATGTAGCCCGGAATGCCATAAGCGTTCCTACTGCCGGGAATTTTGAGCATTTTGACGAAGGGATGACGCCGTCCTTTCAGCAGTTCCATCCGTATCATTCGTATCGAGACGATATCGTTTGTCTGAAATGCGAGAGTAAGAGAGAGAGACATCTTTGTTTGCTTCATAAAAAATTGCATTTATTTTTGCATGGTGAAAACTATGTCACGCTTCAAGAATAAAACATATAAGAAGAATATTGCGAAGAAAAATATTTTTCTAACGATTATATAATTATGTTATGTCTCTCTCTCTCTCTCTCTCTCTCTCGGGACTTTTAGCGAGAAGTTGTTTGAGAAAATGCGAAAAATAATCATGACGCTTTGTCAATATTCTCGCTAATAGCGCTTACGTCAAACGTCAAGTACACATAGGTAATATATTATAATTCAACCTTGTATTCATCCTCACGGCGATTCGAAAAATGTATAATTAGCCGATATCGATTAATTAATAGCCTAGATTAATTTTGACACTTTTTCGAACGTTGCTTACAATTCTAAATATAATTGTGCAGATAGGTGGACAAGATATGAGATATTAGATATGTCTGTATGTTATTTGTGACTTTAATGATTGTAAAATTAATAATAAATGAATTAAATAATAATTATATAATATTAATATAAATTTATAATATATAATATATTTAATAAAATATTAACATAAATTTTTTGATAATATCAATTGCGTGACCAGAAGCGAAACATAAAACTTTTATATTATAATGATGTAATCATTTTATTATATTCTATTAATTGCCATCCATTGATATTTTCTTGTGCTTAATTGTAGTTATATTCATTTTTTTCTGCGTTTCTTGCTTTATTCCTTTGAGCCTTTTTTATCGGGCAGTTAAGCAGGAAGCACGTGCTTCTGATGATTCAAATCGGTGGTCTGATTCAACGAGCATTATAATATAATAAGAATCGGATTAGCATTGAATGAAGTGGGTGGCGCGGCGGGTTGTCGAAAATACCCTATAAGAGCCCCGTAAGACCTTTACAATGTGCGCAGAGTGGTTATTAAAAAGAAAATGGAATATCTTATCCATTTTGCACAGATATAAATATTTAAATATCTATTGCTTGAAAATTTCATGTCTAACGTCCATATAAATATCGTTGTATAATTTGCCTTTTATATAGATTGAGATCGATATGCAAACGGTGAATATTTTAAATAAATTAGGATAGATTGCTCTATCGATTATAATATATATATGGTATGGTAGAAAAAAAATTTTTTTAAGGATATTTTTATCGTGGAATGGATGTACGTGTCCGCGCTTTTGGCAACAACCTATATAGGAGCTGTTGCATTAGCTTATCCCGAGTCTAGGGAGTCAAGTTAAAGCCACCTTGCGCTCCCTAATGCGCGCTCTCGCATGCGTCGCAAGATTTGGGGCGCGCGCAACGATTATTGCCACCTTAATGCAGGCGCGCTCGGTATAATCGGTTATACCGAGCGACCAGTGATCCTGGTGTGACTGCGCAGCCGTAACAATAGTCCGAGGCGTCGACGTCGGACCACCCGCAGTTCGCCATTAAAGCCGCTTCTGAAAAGAGGAGAAAATAAAGACGGAGATATATATACGTGTGCCGGAGCCACACTCGACCAGGGCCGAGGCGAAGGAAAGAGAGAGGCGGGAAGAGAGGCGGGAAGAGAGTCAAGGACACCCGTAAGGGCCTTCGAAAATCGAAACACGGGCTAGGGGCGAGCGAAGAATTAAGAATCAGAACGCCGACGACGATGACGACTAGATGTAACACGAAACTCCATGGCGCCAAAGACCGTTCCTAAGCCGTTGCGCTAATAATATCACCCCATTGTGCTACCATTAGAGCCGCATAACGTGCCGCCGCGTTTCTTCCCTTTTCTCACCTGCATTCTTTCTCTTTCTCTCTCCCTCTCTCCATTTTTTTCCGCTCTCTTCCTTTATATTCCCATCTTAATTCCTCTCCCCGTAGCTCCTCTTTTATAGCGCACCTTTATAATGCGCCTCGTGACGACACCGCGCTGTATTAATACACCAACAAGTCGATGTCTGTCCGTGACAATGTTTTAGGGACGCGCCTGGTTAACCCGCGGCATCGCACCTTCCATTCCCGCCTCTTAAATCCGTCGCGAGGTAACCGAAAGAGTAAAGGATGGTTGAAAGATTTCTTTCAGGGACATTTATCGTGCTCGTATAATCTTCTTAGGGCTACAAACCGCTCAGTGTATACGGTGGTTTAGGTCGAGCATTATATTTATACGACCATTACGATTCATTGTAGTCGCAGTCTATCGACGAAAATTGAGATGGATTGGGTCGAATCTCCGAAGGGTTTTCAGACACACACGCTCACGTATCTCAATATGTATCGAACGTAAACTATAACTAGAATTTAATTAGAATTTTTCGCAAATCTATATAGCTTTCGAAAAATGTTCAAGTCATGTGAGACACTGATTGAATTATCCAATTCCATCAAATTATCCCTTTTTTTTACGAATCTCCAAGAGAGGATAGCATGTCGATGCGCATTTAACATCGGGAAATTTATATACACGCGATATATGTATACGTTAAAAATAAATTATAACGCTTATCGCACACGCTCTTGCAGGGTAATCCGTACGGGCTGAAGGACGCGACGGGGATGGGCATGACGGCGGACATGGGTGCTGCCTGGGGCACGGCCGCCCTTCAACCTGCCGCCACGGGTTACTACCCTTACGATCCAACCCTGGCCGCCTACGGGTAAGTTTATCGCCAGGTTTCATGGTCTCTCGGCTCCATTAGATTAAACCACCACCGGGAGAGCGCCGAACCGTCTCTCCCCCTTTATCCACCCGGGGGGCCCTCTTTCGCCTTCCGCGCTCCTCGCCATTAAAACAAGAGTCACGGTCGCGTCGCCGCGTATATACTCCGCTAGAAGCGTTTCCGCGCGACGACGGTTATCGTTATCGCGCGAATCCGTAATATCTCCCCCTTGCACGTGCGCACCTGAAGAGAGAGGTGAAATGGACCGTTATAGAATTGCGCCGGCCTGGCTCTCGAGATGAGTTGTAACGCTGTTCGATCGCCGATAGAGAAACTACATCCGACGTGGGGAATAATTTTTCTGCGATAATGCGGATGTATATATGATGGGATATTTTTATCTAGCTTATAGTGTATTATTTAATTTCGTTTCAAGGATAAGTGAATATATGTATGTATAATACATAATTCGCTGCCTACACAAGTCGCGATCGCGCGTAAATACATTAATATGATAATACATCCGATAATCATTCTTGTATCGACATTTGATCGTTAACTGTCGTGATTTCCGGATTCTGTCAAACTCGAAGGGGGGAAAGGAAGAGAGGGAGGGGAAGGGGGGGGGGCTAGGGTTGAAGGTGCCTCGGCGTTCGAGTTAGGCCAAACACGACGGACGGCTACAAAATGGCTGTAGGCAGCCGAGTGGGCGTATATAATGGGGGCTTCCAGATTGGACGCGTGTGTACATACACGCACGTGTGCACATATATACGTATACAGACGAGAGCGGTATCGCCACATCGCGAGCGTAGGGAGAGCAGTAGGTCTCTCGTAGGAGAGCGAGTGAGTGAGTTTATTGATTGGCTTCCTCCCCGGGGTTGGCTCGCCCCGTTCGCCAGGCCTCTCCGCTCTACTCTCGAACTCCGTCGCTCTCTCGCTCTATCTTCATCCCTGTATCTAACCCTAAATCGCTCTCTCTCTCTCTCTCTCTCTCTCTTTCTCTTTTTCTCCCTGTCTCCCGCCCTTGCCAAACGCTCTATTCCCCGCATCCGTCTACTCCCTTTCGACTACTTCCCCGGCCACCTCCGTATCCTCCGAACGAGTCGGCTCCCACAGGTGCTTTACTTGCTTCGCTTAGCAACCCTCGTGTCCGCCTGGCAAGCACACACGCGCAAATACATACGCGTACACTCGCGCACGACGTTCACGCATAGGCAGGCGCGCTGTGACTCACGCAACGAGAGGTTTTCCCTCCCTCATCGGGGCCACCCCCGTTTGGGTTGTATGTATATAGCCTGCATGTGCTCGACGACGACGGCGGCGGCGGCGGTGGCGGCGGTGGCGGCGGTGGCGGCGCCTGCCAGAGAAACTCCGACGGGTAGGCATTGTTTATCGTGGAATTCAGCGCCCTTACTGTCTCGCTCTCCCTCGCCACTCTCTCTCCGGACAAGCCTCTATTAATTTACTTGCTTAATAATACGAAGGCCGCTCTCTGTCGTTCGCCTCTCCCGCTCCCGGAGTTTTGCTCCTCTTCCCTTGAACGGGTTAATACGCGCCCGTTCACTTTCGACGCCGTCGGACCGCTATTGTTTTATCAGCGGCGTTGAAAGTTGCGGACTCTGCGTTGTTGTTGTACGGTGACACAAGGAAGGGTGCCCCGGGTCGTCGCGCGCGAGGCCCGTAAATTGAAGCGACTCGATTGGGACGCTCCGGCGTGAACGCTCTGATTACAGGAAATGAGAAATATGTCGTTACCGACTATCCCGCGAAAGGGTTCCTTTGGGGACACTTTGAACGGGGGCTGAAGTGTCTCTATTTTTTTTCTGTTGCCTTCGCGTAAATTGATGGAATCCTCTGTTCTTCTCCGTTCGCGCCATTGCACACCCGAGCTTCATTCTGCGTCCTGTTATTTATTATTGGATGATGAATGAGCGCGTCTGCTCTCTCCATGTGCAATAAGATGATACAGCAAATATTTAAGACATCAATGGAAATTTCAATGGCAGGGATAGATTTGTCGTGCAGCTTTTAGTAACAAAACATTATTGATACAATACGTGATGTGACAAATGTGACATAGAAAAGTTTCTTCTCTTTCGGATCGTTAAATATACAGTCAATCTTGTATCGCTTTGATGGAGAGAGCCGTACAGTTGAACGCCGTCGTTCTTTTTACCCATTGAAAGATAGGGCATTGCGTATGGTACTAACTTAATTTCCGCCCAATCGGGAGATACCGCTTTTTATTCGATGATCGCGCGTACGAACGTTGACTATGTTGGGATCATAGAAATGCGCGGCCTTTTTCTCTTCGACTATTCCCTTTGATTTCCCATAGCAGCGATCACTTATCCGCGTCTTTTCTATCTATACCGTCCAGAGAAAGATGCCTAAACCGGTGTAATTCTAGAAAAATCGCTCGACGTATAAAACAAAATACACATATGTACAAGATACACTTCATCGATCGACAAAGTAAACAGTCGAGATTCTCACATTCTTACAGTTTGATTAAAATCGAGTACAGATGCGATATTTCGAGAACGGGCCCAAAACAAGACATCACCCTCGTATTTTAATTTAAAAAATAATGATCACTACAAAATTAGAAAATATTTCGATGCTGCTTTACTTCCTTCCGATATTGCGCTATGTTTTGTGGATTATCAAAGCATCTACCTCGCTTGTTCTTGTCTTGGAACAACGCGTAGGAGAAACCTCCGATGATTAGACGCAGACAGCATATCGGTTCATCGTAGAACGCGAATGCGGGGGGCGGATCTTGTCGGCGAAGCAGATGCTATGTACGGGAGACAAAGAGAAAGAGAGAGAGAGAGAGAGACTATAGGTTGGCTGGTTGGTCGGGTAGGAAACGTTTGCGCATCCGAAGCCGGGCGTAACTATTGAAGCTATCTATATACATATATATATATATATATATATGGCTATACGAGGTTCGAGGACGTAATTACGCGCGTTCTGCCAATATTGGTTAACCTTTCGAGGTTGACGCCACCATATGCAAAGCCTCTAATGAGTCGCTCGAGTGCCGCCAGTGTCTAGTATTACGCGCTCCTCTACGCACCCTTTCACATCGTTATTAGCCGTCGTAGGTATTCGACGATCTTGCCGTTTCACTTCCCCCTCCCCCCACCCCATGTTCCCCCACACTCCCGTCATCCGCCGCCAATTTCGTTTCGCATATATAACACCGCTTCTCTTCGCTCCCTTTCACTCCCACGAGCGAAGTATGTATCGCACTTCTAAATTGACGTTGATCCCCGACCTATACGAAAATACGAGCGGCGATGCGATCCTTATCTCGTGGTTGCGCGAAATCAATTTGCTGAATCCGATATCGCGATGCATCTGACGTCAACGTTCAATTATTGGCCTTTCGATCAAGCGATCGACTGATAATAAGAAAGTTATTCGTTTCTATTTGCTTACGGTTAGTTGCGGATTAAAACCGATGATACTTTTACAAATAAGTCACTCGAAGCGCCGGGATTAATTGAAATTCACACGAAAGCGTCGAGATACATTCGATTCGTACGTACGACAAGTCGCGCGTTAAAAACTCGTACGCGTCGAGTTCTCCAAGGACGCCTGTCGCACGGTTTATGCCTCACCATCAACAGAGAGTCGTGTCGAGGAGTTTTATACGATGGTAGATAGTGTTATTCACACTTGCCGATCCGTGAACTTTCGCGTTACGAGCGCGTAACGCAATCCTTTAGAACGGATAAATCCAAGGCGTTTAATTTATCGATGTTTAAAGATCCTAACGTTTATTACACGTACTCGCCAATGTAAAGAAATGCAGATCGCAAAATCTGAGTGCATCTTTTTCCCTCCTTTCTCTTCCTCCTTATATGTATATCGCTATACATTTATATATTTGCGCATTTTCGATTTTTTAAATAAAATCTTTGGCATCATTGTACGATCAAAAGTATCAAGAATAACGGTAAAATTTTTCGCGGACCAACCGCGTTGTGAGAAAAAGAGGAAGGGAGAAATTGGACTGTGCTCGTCGCGCATCTGTCAAGTTTTTATCTCGCTCCCATTCGTCGTCGCATCCACATCGCGACCGTTCGCGTATATACGAGACGCGCGATCACGTCGATACGCAATCCGAGCGATTCCCTCTCTGCACGCAACGGTACACTTAGTATGTAAATGCCGAGAGAGAGAAAGAGAGAGAGAGAGAGTTGACTCGTTGTGTATGTAGATAATTGCGCGGCGCGGGAGTCGGACGTGTGGGAGGTAGTCGAAATTGCGCATATTAATGAAGGGGGCGAAGCTTGATTGTATCTAGAAGTCAGCTCGTCGGCCTCTGTCGATTTCTGACGGGTCTCTGATTCGACACGGTTCTCTTTTTCGCCAGAATGTCACGTTTTCTCGCACTGCGAGACGCGTAATTTTTGTAATGTGGGGCGAAAAATTTGCGGAAAAAAATTCGCCGACACTCGACACGCAGACTATTCCAAACGAATCTATTTTCTCTTCATAAATTCTTTATTTTTTAAATTTCTAGCGTCGTCTAATTGAAGCATGGACATAAAAAGTTCATGTCATAATGCTTTATAAAATTCGTTTGTAATTTACGAGAAGCTTAAAAAATTTTTTTCGTTCTGTTTCGCGCAGGAAAAACTAAAGTGTCTCGAATATATCTATCGCATAATATAATACATACGTGCATTTTATTGTTTCGTCCTTCGCGAATCGCTTCGGCGATGAACTCGGAAGCCTATCGAAATCGATAAAGCTCCTTCTTTAAGGACATGGCCGCTTTTTTGCGATAGTAGTAGCAAAGGAGGAACGCGAGTCGGAGAGAAGAGAGGAAAAAAAAGGGAAAGAAACGTAGAAGTCGAGAAGAGGCTCGTTTTACCGGCGGCGTATCCCGGCGGCCGCCTTTCCCTTGTACGAGGGAGTTTAATAGAGGGTGAAACGTCCTCCACCTTCTTCGAGTCAGCTTCCTGCGGATTGCTGCTTCCATCCCCGTCGGGACGCGGTCATCTCGGCAATCTCGGATACGGATCGCGGTGTTAGTCGGAGGGTGTGGAAGGGGGTTGCGCAACCTTGTGCTCGTTGAGTGAAAGCGAGAATCTAATCATTCGCCATTCGCTCGATTTACCTCGATTTCCGTTTGTTTCTTTCTCTCTCTCTCTTTCTCTTTCTCTGTCTCTCACTCTTCAGCTTCTTCCTGTAATCAAACGATTTCTCCAATGATTTGAACGGCGCACTCGTTTAATTCGATTACATGAAACGGAAATAGGGACTTGACAACGTTTATTTTTAACGCTGTTTTCAATCGCTATTCGATAACGATCGCTCGCCGCAGCAAAAATAGAGAACCCGCTATTGTGATTATTTTCGTACGCAACATCTGGGAACTGCCAGATCGTAAATTGAGTAAATTGACCGTTTGATCGATGTCGTCACATCGCGCTTCAACGAGATCTTTCGCTTAAATTATTTCGAAACCGTGTCTTGTAAATTATATTTCCTCTTCATCTTTATTATATTCCCTACAAAATTCACGAGTGTCATAAATGTAATTGGCGTTGCTTTTCATTATTAGTCTTTCGATCACGATTTAATTGCGATATCGAGATTTTCCTCAACCATCGACGAGCAACAGTCTCGATGCGTTCCGCTCGAGGCAAAACATCGTTGCTAACCATTACTACCACCACCATCACCACCATCGTGAACCCGCTGTGCCTCCGCCGTCGTTTCACAGCCGATGGATCGTCGATAGGTATTTTAGCCTGTAGTATATAACAGTATCCACCTATAACATACTCGCGCACCGGGTTCTTCGCCGGGGAGAAGGGAGGTAGACCGAGTGAGAGGGGGTGGGCGAGAGGGGATCGATCGAATCGCCATTACGGCGAGTGAGTGCCGGGGGTGCACGATGGAATCACGTCGCCGCTGGGGGTTTATTCCCCGTATATATTTGCCGGAGTATCACCCCTCGACCCAGTAGGATGCCCCCCTTCCGTCCGTCTATCCCAGAGGGGTTTGATGTCGAGCAAGGCGCGGAGAGAAAAGGGAGAGAGATGTAGAGAGAAGGAAGAAACAGAGAGAGACAAAGACAGATCTAGGAAAGCCGAGGGCTCGTGCAGAGCACTTCGGACTCGCCAAAATCTGCAGGGAATTCGCACCCTCGACACGATACCACTTTTCGAGTGGGGTGGCCCGTTTCGACAAATATGGAACAATAGTTACCTTCTGTGGCAGGCAGGCAAGCGGCGAACGTTGCTTAATGGCGATTATTCAATCGTTAATAACGCGTTTGACATTTATTAAGGGATGTGTCGATTTTTGTGTATTTTTTTTTTTTTTAATTTCTTTAAATAAATAAGATATATAGATGATCGAGTGATCAGTATACATGCCGATAAACGTGTTATGTTAATTAGTAATATGTGAAATATAAGAGAGACGCGTGCAAATATTTTATCTACGATTTACCGAGCGCTCTCTACATCTCGGCTTCCCTTGAATTGCACTTCCTGTTTACAAGCCGCTGTTCACCCGCGCGTAACGAAATTTTTTCAAGGGTTTTCAGGGACGATCTCATTGTAAGCTGCCGTTGTCTTTTTCAGATACAGCGCCGGTTACGATCTGGCCGCGCGACGGAAGAATGCCACGAGAGAATCGACGGCGACCTTGAAAGCTTGGCTGAACGAGCACAAGAAGAACCCGTATCCGACGAAAGGCGAGAAGATTATGCTGGCTATCATCACGAAGATGACGTTGACTCAAGTCTCGACTTGGTTTGCGAACGCGCGGAGACGTCTCAAAAAGGAGAACAAGATGACGTGGGAGCCGAAGAACAAGACGGACGACGACGACGACGCCGTGCTCTCCGATTCCGAGGATAATAAGGAAAAGGACGATCTCGTGGCGGATAACAGAAGCGACCGAGTCGGCGAAGAGGCGAGACGAGGCCTCGATGATACCGGTAAGTTTTTTTCTCTTTTCTATCATGAGCGCATCTGGTATCACAGGGCGTCTACCCGAATCTTGTAAAAAAATTCTTTGAAAATTTCCTGATCTTTCAAGTATTTTTGTACAAAATTCCAGATAAAGAGAATGTTTTAAGGATTTTCTGGTGCAACTTTCTAAAATAAGTTTTTTTATTATATTTTTGGTTTTTCTAATGCTTTTTACTCATATGAAGGAAAAACTCAGAGCCACTTTTCAAGTGCTTGATTTGCAAATATATAGAAAAAAAAATTAATTGTTTTCATAAGATGAACATTTTTCACTAGCATTTCATTTTTTTATCACTAAAAACTATAATAAAGAATATTTATTGCGTATTCAACATTTTGTTAAGACATTGAATATATAAAAACACATACAGAGAAATATAGATATATATTTTAAACAGACAATTCACTATTTAGTTTATCGGCAAATACCAATTGCTTACAATGTAAAAGCAAAATTCAATCAAAGAGAGAATTTTTGAAAAAAATTCCTGAGTCCCAATAAAATTCCATAAGAATTCCCAGTTTTTTCAATTTTTTCCACATTTTTCTAACGAGTGGACACCCTGGATTATCAGAATTCGTTATTCGGCGAGACACTGTCTCGATATACGAAGCCGTCACGTTTTCACGTCGCGAACCCGCGAGAGCTATTTAGAAAATTCGCGCGCTGCGAGATCTTACGATTGACACGCGAGATCCTAGTTTGCCGTTCGCGCCGCTAACAAGGTTGCAAACTGTGAAATGGAATGAAATGATAGGCGTGTCTGTTAACGTCGCAACGGCAGAAACACCGATAGTAATAATATTCGAGACGACTAGCCAGCCGCGCCTGTGCTTAAAAGACTCGTCCGAGAAAAGCGTCGGCACAATATTCGCGATAACGTCATCGTCGTCGGTGCTATCAGGAAATTTCTATCGTTAGAAACGTCCGATTATCGATATTGCGAGAAGTATTGTTGGTATCGTTTCTCGAAGGTAGGTCCGGCGAGCAGGGCGAGCCGATCTCTTTGACTCCGGAATGTGTCGATGGCGTGTTTACCTCGCGTGACTAGGTTCTCCGATATCGAATACCCATCAGCTGGTATTTCTCGTATTGCGCAAGCGTGCATATCGCATACAATGCAAGTCGAACTTATAACTGTGCTTTAGACAATCGCGACAACCATTTCAAAAAATTTTTTAAACCTTCTTTTGAGGAAAAATATGAACATTGCGCTCGTGGACTTTTTTGAATAAATATCTTTGCTCCAATAAATCTCTCTTTTTGTCGTTCGCATCGATTCGTTCTTCAAATCCAAGCTTTTGTGGAACACTCGACAATTTCGTCGACAGCGAACGATTTCAAAATACGAAGTTGCAAATTTCGACTCGCATCCCGGCTCTCGATTCACCGCAAGCGCGCCATACGCGCTATTAAGGATCCGCTTAATGCCCGCTTGGATCCGTTTCCCAAATTGCGGTTGGGATATCGAGGGCATCCCGCAGTCGCATTTCTTGGCGCGGCGACCGGAAACGGCGAGTTAGGAATTCGCAGCGGAGCGCGGCGCGGAGCGAGTTCTATATTGCGGGGGCGGACATAATGGTTCACATGTGGGTAAACACAGTGACAGGTTGCGGGTTGCCGCGCGAAGAGATTAATGGCCCTCAGTTCGGTCCCCCGGTGGACCGGGCCGACGGCCGTTGGTATTGGTACCCTGGGCTCTGGACCCGGGCTGCTCATCCGTGAGCTTGCCGCGAGCGTGTAGGTAGGAGTCGTATACGTGCATAAACACAGCGAGAGGAGCGCGTAATTGTATGCGTGCGCGAAAGAGGGAGAGGGTGCGCCTGGGCTGAGTAGCCATCCGTAGAACCATATACACTCCGGGATCTATATGTGTACATATATGTATATATGTGAATGTATATACATATATACATATATAGTATATATACACTGTGAACTGTATATAGATACACGTGCGGGAGAACGCGCTGGTTCGAGGTACGGTGATGTATCGGCGCCCGCGGCGAGACGAATGGTACGGACCCTCCTATGGCCACCATTACCCCACCGCACATTGGCCAATATAGAGTCTCTCTCCTCTCTCTCTCTCTCTCTCTCTTTCTCATGCGTTCTCGTCATCTCGGTCTCTCTCCCGATAGCCAGGATATCCAGGTCCTGTCGTGCTGCGTCACGCGTCCTGCAATGGCTCGTAATTTCAAAAGACCGAGGTGAGCAGCGCTCCGACGATGCGCGCCGGCTTGGAAAAGGCTTGACGAGAACCGACGGGAAATTGATTTGCCGCTCTTGGTTCTCTCTCGTGAAAGCAGGCGTCTTACGTCTAAAATTTCGCGGTTTTTCCCTTCTTAAATAAAACTGGCAAGAACGCGTGTGTGTGTGTGTGTGTGTGTGTGTGTGTATCGACACTTTGCTTGTGAAAGACGAATATATACGTACGTGCCGGTGACCTTTAGAAATTCAAAGGGGAGCTTTCGGGAGCGTTCATGAATTTCTACGCCGAGTCTGAGGAAGATAGGTCACACGAACTGTCAGCTACCTATGCGGCGAAGGTTGAAATATTCGTATTCAGGCGGAATATATTCGAGCTCTCGGCTTCTCGAGTCCGCTATTGTTACGTAAAGTCGGAACACGGACAAAAGTTTGGTTTGTTTCACGAATTAATAGGATATAGGTATAACATCGGAAAATAGAAAAATTATTGTTATAAACTTTTGTCTCGTGCGCGGGTATGAATCCGAATCCGAAACCGTAAACGTAAATACAATTTAGTTATTCAATTTAAACACGGAATCTGCCCACACGGCGCGAAGATTATGAGATTAACGTCTGATAAAAGAGGGTCAAAAGTTAAAGAGCCACTTGTGGACTCGACGGTAGTATCTATTTAGTTGGTCCATAAGGCTCCCTTTATAAGGGGGTGTGCATGCGCCCTAAACCGAAACTCTTTTTTTTTCTCTCCTTTTCTCTTTTTCTCTCTTTCTCTCTCGCAACCTCTCCACATCTCTCTCTCTCTCTCTCTCTTTCGCACTCTAGAGTATAGCAGCACGCCCTTCGAGCTTGGGAATTATCGCTTGACGACCCATCAAGTAAACCCTCTGCCGACACATTCGAACCTCTTAATGAAATTCTCACCCCTGACTGACTGGCTGGCTTGGCTCGGTGGCTGCCTGGCTGGCAGACGCTCGGGACGATCCGTGAAGCGCCCCGAGAGACGACGGGACAGGGAGAGATCGGAGAAAAAGGAGAGGGATACGACGCTCCATCTTTCTCCCGCGCATCCTCCCCGCATGCTGTCCCGAAGGGAAACTGAAATCTCTCGCGCCCCAAAGTGGTTGAAGGCTTCGCTTCCCCTTTTTTCACAGCATCCCTTACAGCTTAACTATGTAGGGGCGTAAGGGAGATATCCGCCACTCTCGCGCCGCTCGACGACCCTTCACGACGACGGAATCCCGTTACGTTGCGTTCTACGTCTCGCTCTCGCGCGCGTCGAGCATTATAAACCATTAATGCCTATATTCCCGGCCTGTATCCACTTTCGCGAACCGTCTTTGGCGTGACAAACACGACGCACAATTTCGTGCCAGAATATCTCGTATTATTATTGATGTTTTGCCGAATCCACGTTTAGTTTATAAGTCTACAAATAATCTTCCCTTGATATCATTTTCAGAGCCAATGAGGCACGTGAAAGCGGAACTCCTGCAGCATGAGAAGGACCTCGACGACGAGGACGATCTGGATCTCGAGGACGATCGTCGACGAAGCGAGCATCCGTTTCATCACGCGATGCAACATCACCACCATCACCATCAAGGCTTTGGCGGCGAGGATCATCTAAAGGACGAGGGTATCAAGCCGGATTGTAGCGCGGGCGGTGTACCAATACCCGCGACAAAACCGAAAATTTGGTCTTTAGCGGACACGGCAGCGTGCAAGACACCGCCACCACCCTCGCATCCTCATCATCAGCAGTATCATCATCAGCATCATCAGCAACACTACCCGCAACAGAACCAATATCACATGCCTCGTCAAGACATGATTCAGACTGACACGCGACATTCGTGGCTCGGTTCACCGCCACCACCCTCGCATCCTCATCATCAGCAGTATCATCATCAGCATCATCAGCAACACTACCCGCAACAGAACCAATATCACATGCCTCGTCAAGACATGATTCAGACTGACACGCGACATTCGTGGCTTGGTTCAGCAAGTATGGTGGGAGGCGGTAGCGCCGGAGGTGGCGGCGTCGGCGCCGGTGGCGGCGGAAACTTGGGGAGTTCGTTCGCTCTACCCTCCTCGGCCGGGATGAGCCCGTCGGCGGCAGCGACGGCGCCCTTCACAGGCATGGCCGCGAGATACGGCGGTCTGCTCTCGTCCTCGTCCGGCAGTCAGCTCCATTATAATCCCAACTCGTCGTCGGGCTCGAGCTCGAGCGCATCCTCCTCGGCGGCGGCAGCGGCGGGGTTTCCCGAGGTTGGCACGGACACTCCACCCCAGACACCGCCCAACATGAAGGTGGCCACGCCGAACGGAGTGATTCAGGGCCCACCGGGTGGTTACTGTCCTGGTGGCAATGCGACCGGCGCCGCGACTAACGGCAATCCTAACAATCCGTACGGGGCGTCGATTCATCCCGGCGGCGGCGGCAGCGGTTATCTATCGACGAGTTCGGGCTCGGCCAGTAGCGCGTCGTCCTTTAGCTCTCGGCTGCAGAGCTCGCCGGTCGGACATAACTCCATTCTCCACCAGCATCAAACCACTGCCAGTTTGCCGCCCACGGAGGCCAGCACCGCGTTTAAACCGTTTTACAAAGGGTGAGTGGAGAGAATACTGACATCTAATGTAATTTCGACGTTAAAATTAAATATTGTCAGTGTATTTGTATAAGAAATAAACCGCAAATGAGACGATTCAATCTTTATTCGATGTATAGAATAAAAAAAATATTCTCTCTCCTTGAAAAATATAAGAAAGAATTAAAAGTATGCGTTTTTTGTTTCAGCTCGCAATCAATGGGTAACGGCTACGTGTCGCCGGTTTAAGAGAGCCAACGCAATGATCCAGAACAACGGTCTTTCTCAAGGTAAGTCGCAGTTTTATTATTTTTTCGCTTACGCCGATCTTCGCTTTTTACGACGCCGCTCCTTGTTCTACGAACAATACGCATACATGCGTCGAAAGATTTCAAATTTTTTACGAAAAGTTCGACGCCAAAATTCAGAATCGACCCGTATATTACAGTTACGTTAATGTCACAATGAATTATATTCGTAATTTACTGTCGACTGTAAAAAGAAAAAAAATCTCCGACGGAGATGAGCAGAGGAAAGAGAAGGAGGAAGAGGGGAATGGACAGAAAAAAGGCAAGTTGTCCGAAGCAACGGTACATGACCGACCGGCTTATCGGCACGAAAATCGATACAAGGATTCTCGCTTGCGCGAACGGCGAAAGGCGCGCCGGTTGAACTGTTGTTGAACTCCGTTGTGCCAAACTCGCGCACGGACACCTCAAGAACAATCGATAAGAAATTAATATCCGGCGTGTCGATTGGCGTGTCGTTAAGCCGGCCGACTCGAGTTGAAATAATAATGGTATCGTGCATCGGAGTAGCGTGTGTGGGTAGCCCACAGTCGAGAAGCTGAAGAGGGAGAGAGAGAGATAGATAGAGAAATAGGGAGAAAGAGGCTATCGCCACCTCCTTGACAGTGACAAATGGATGGAGATTTCAATCAGTGAATGGAATCACCACTGGCTAACCGCGTCTTTCTCTTACCACATCGTAGGTCGACCGTAGCTTCTTACGTATGTATATGTGCGCGCCCACATGTGTGTTGGAAATATATACTCGGACACACCTCAACCTGTCGCGTTGGTGACCGAACGGACGAGTTCGGTCCGGTCTCGTGTTTAGGTCTCTTTAAGCTTAAGATGGACACCTTGAAGCTTTCGTAAGAAGTGCCAACGCTGACCACAGTCGCGTTGTAAATTTTATCTAAATTGCATATGTCGCATCAGATGAGAACGATTTACGTACAAATTTATCGCGCGTATAAATTGTACGAAAATCTCATTATTTTATTCAAAAGAAGCTTTGTGAATGAAAAGCCGCTCCATCGTTCCACCAAATTTCAATTCGAAGGGAATGTCGAGTAAACGATCGTGGGACAAACGTATTTTTTAGTATGGGATTTGTTTGCGAGTCGATAAGTCGGGCGGAAAAATAAAGAAGCGATTGTCTGCGATAGTCAAGAGGCGATCGTTAAAGCATCTCCGGGAAAGCCGGAGTCTTCGTCTTCTCATTCGCGGCCGGTGAATAAAGGGAGGGTCGAAACGGCTGTTCGCTCGTTTCCTTACAAACGATTCGCGGGATTCATCTCCAGGGCTTACCCTCCTCGGTCACATTCTCCTTCGTTCTTCTCGGCGAATTCTCCCGAGGTATCCGTAAAACGTTTCTCGCGGTACGAGCGCGAGTCTTTGAAGGTTATCTGATTCGTCGAAATCGTAAAAGAGCCCCGGATCGCTCTTCCTGCGAAAATATATTTTCCGGTTTCTACTTGTGTCAATTTGAGAGCACTTCGAGCCAAGCGGCGCTCTTTCAACTCTCTCCGCCATCTGTAGCCGATGAGGATCCGTTCGACAAGATGGAAATTATTGCGTGGAAAATTTATATCGATCTTTATCTGCATAAATATAGATAACGTTGAGCCGAGAACGAATATTTCAGATTTATTTGATTCAAATACAAAGAATGTTGAAAAATAATTTTCGCGATAAATTGAAATAAATATAAAATACAAAATTTTTAAAACGCTTAGGCGGGACGAGAGTTGCGAAAATGTGAAAAATTATTCCGAAATATCGCTTGTGCGATACAAGGTGACGGAGATTCGAGAGAATCACGAGCGAAGCCAGGGCGACGCATCGAAGCTGCGAAAAACGTCCGTCGTCGTTGTCTTTGTGGGATGCCACGACGTGGACGCGGAGTAGAAAGGCCGGCGAGAAGGAATGAGGGCGGAGGATAAAGGGGTGAGGAGGGTCGTCTTTTCGGAGGAAACCGGGTGTTAGCCGGTACTCTCTTATCTCGTGGCGATCTGATCCTAATTTATAGCCGCGTTCCAAATAAACTAGTTTTCGCTGTCGTCACCTCGCCTCTCCCCCGTCCCTCTCCTCCTTTCCATGCGTGTGTATGGTTATACGAAACGCATTGGTGCGTTCGCAGCTCGGACGCGCTTATAATGCTATCCCCCTCCTCTCCCGGTCTCAACACCCGCTCTCCATCCGGTGACCATCCTCGATCTTTCTGCCTCTTCCCTCTTCGCGCACACAGGGGGACAGGTATACGAAAGTGTTAGTCGCGAGATGCAGCGTTTTTTGTACCTACCATCAGGGATAGACCCGATCTTCGCTCCTTGTGTCGTCCTTTTCCCAATTGCGGGATACGCGGAGAGGGAAAGGCAGAGAGCACAAGAAGCGAAGTCCTCTCCAGTCCGTGCCCTATAATTGCCAATTAGCGCGGGGATGTTTAATCGTTATTAGGATGTGGAGGGGCCTGGCTAGGAGGCTGGCTCCTTCTAACGATCGTCCCCTTCCAGCTAAGCGATATTTACACGATCACACGGCATCTGCATTAAAATTCGCGACCACCGTGCACATCCGCCACGGAGGCGAGAGAGGATAGGCGATCTTTTTAACGGTTTCGGGATTCCGGACTGCGGCGGGAAGAGATTCGGGTGTCTCCTTAATAAATCCTCGAACACGTCGCCGCGGTTTCCTTTCTCCCCCGTCCCGTTCCTCTCTCTTCCCATTCTCGAAGGAAGCGTCGCCGGTGACTCTTTGAGAAACGCGCGCGTTTCTGGAATTCCCGGTCTCCATCGCCGGTCGTTTTAGTCGGGTCGACACACGCTTCTCCGTCGACCGCGTCCTTCTTTGTCCTCGACCTCCATTCTCATTTCGAGTGTTTATCGCGCGTACAGCTGTCTCGGCGTGCGAAATCTCTCCCGAAAACGGTAGCCCTGGTTTATTTACGTTCCCAGATGCGCGCCAGGACGGCTTGAGTTGCTAATCGGAGACCACGCATCGCCGCCTTTCCGACCCTGACGAGGCTAGTCGCTATCATTCACCTGATTTCGTGACTCGCCAGTTCAGCCAGGCGGATGCAAATGTTATTGATTGAGAATAAAATCGCAGGCCCGATGGACTCCTCTTTTTCCCTCTTTCTTTCTCTCTTCTCTGAATATAAATTAACACGTTAATTTTAAGACCGGACAGATATAGCGAGAGATTCTATCTCGGCTTATTAAAAAAAATAACGCGTTTCAATATGATGATCGCCCTCGTAAAGGATCTTCGTTATCTTTACGCCCTTACGCATTACCGTGTAAATACTCCGTACTATGTCTCGTGTATGCTTAACGGTATTATTAATAAAGTTATAAAATAAACAGACTCTTATCTCTTTCCTTCTCTCGGACACATTATAATTAAATCATTATAAAAACGCGTACATACGCGTACATACGCATAAATGGTCGTAAGAAAATTATTATTCGCGTCGATATACGGGAGCGGAATGTTAACCTAGCATTAAAAATGCGTAATGTAAGGTAGGAGAGGCGGAGGGAGGGTGGCTATCAGCGTGAGTTATTATTAAAATTCCCGCAACCAGGTGCTTTCATTTGAATTAATGATTGTTTGATGTTTATAATTTTATGCCGGTCTGTCTTCTGCATTATTACGCGAGCATTATCCGCGGCCGGCCACATGAAAGCAGCGTAATAATTACACGATGGCACGTTGCCATTTACGAGAGCATTTTGCTTGTTCCGCGCGATATTCGGCGACGGAGAAAATTCGTGGCAATGAAATTCGCGTTATCGCGTCGAATTTCGAGATCCTTCCGTTTCACCCCGGAGTCTGGTGGAGTCGATCTACGCGAGATTTTCATGCCGATCTTTTCCATCATGACAATTATTAAATTACGACATAACATTGCAACGATTCTTCTATAGAGTTCCCGTAATCGGTGTGATTCTCGTCCCTCGCGATTGTAAATAAATCACCATTGTCGGTGCGAATTTGCGCACACGAGGAGAACGCTATCTTGAAATTTTAATCCGTTGTATCCATCATCTTCCAAATGCGAATCTATATATTATACACATATATATTGTATATTTATATATATATAGAAAGAGAGAGAGAGAGATTATTTAAAAAGATGCAATTGCAATTGATTTACTAGCTTATAAATCACAGAGAAATAATTTGTGCATATGTATATGTGTGAAGTGTTTCATATGCGTAGATATCTGAATACTTGATGAATTTACCGTGAAATGCTGTTTCATAACTTTTGGACCGTTAGAGATGACGGGGAACAGATAAACAGGTTTCTATAGAGCATCAATCGTGTGCCGAAAAAATCAGCAGACAGCTTTGCGCTTATAAAGAGAAAAGGCACTTGGATTATGACTTGTATCAGGATAACGAAACAAGTGCGAGTTGGATTTTGCTCTGTCTCTTCTTTGCTTAAAATTAAATTCTTACAAGAAACAGAAACAATATATTTAATATCAATGTTAATTCGGTTGCTCATCAGGGTAGAATAATTTTTCTTCGGTAACGTTTACTCTAATCGATTACTAATCATATAAATATTCTCTCCCCTTCTCTAATGTCAAACTGGCAAGGTCGCAGCCGATGCGCTGATAATAACGAGTTATCGATAAAAGCGTCGTCGTGCGAGACGGCTTTTTATCGTTCAGACAGATCGCTCCGAATCTCGCAACGATGAAGAAAGGGGAACGCGGCGTATAAATGATAATCGCATAAATGTTTATCGCTCGTCGCAGTGATGAGCGAAACATCCGTGCATGTAACATCCAGATGTCACTGCAAAACTTTCGAAACGACTTGCCGCATAATCGCGCGACATTTGTCATCCGGGCCGACGGTGACGCGCGGATGTCATTTCGCGGTGATTATTTAAAAAGATGCAATTGCAATTGATTTACTAGCTTATAAATCACAGAGAAATAATTTGTGCATATGTATATGTGTGAAGTGTTTCATATGCGTAGATATCTGAATACTTGATGAATTTACCGTGAAATGCTGTTTCATAACTTTTGGACCGTTAGAGATGACGGGGAACAGATAAACAGGTTTCTATAGAGCATCAATCGTGTGCCGAAAAAATCAGCAGACAGCTTTGCGCTTATAAAGAGAAAAGGCACTTGGATTATGACTTGTATCAGGATAACGAAACAAGTGCGAGTTGGATTTTGCTCTGTCTCTTCTTTGCTTAAAATTAAATTCTTACAAGAAACAGAAACAATATATTTAATATCAATGTTAATTCGGTTGCTCATCAGGGTAGAATAATTTTTCTTCGGTAACGTTTACTCTAATCGATTACTAATCATATAAATATTCTCTCCCCTTCTCTAATGTCAAACTGGCAAGGTCGCAGCCGATGCGCTGATAATAACGAGTTATCGATAAAAGCGTCGTCGTGCGAGACGGCTTTTTATCGTTCAGGCAGATCGCTCCGAATCTCGCAACGATGAAGAAAGGGGAACGCGGCGTATAAATGATAATCGCATAAATGTTTATCGCTCGTCGCAGTGATGAGCGAAACATCCGTGCATGTAACATCCAGATGTCACTGCAAAACTTTCGAAACGACTTGCCGCATAATCGCGCGACATTTGTCATCCGGGCCGACGGTGACGCGCGGATGTCATTTCGCGGTCCGGCGAACGAACGAGGATCAGGCGACATCGGGTGAAAAGGAATGGGCAGAAAGGGAAGAGGGTGATATGACAGGCAAAACAGACGACTCGAAGTATAGCGTTTTCAAATATATTCACAGAAGCGAAACGAATATCGCGGAATTTAATCCCGTTCAATCGCACGTTGCAGAATTCACGTGTATCCGTATAATTATTGTAGATGTTATCTAAACACTCTGTTAATTTGAACGTATCATAAAACGCGACTTGATCTCCTCTCAGAAATGATTCAATTGCAGAAAGCCCTAAAATCTTGCTCTATCTGTCAACTCTACAATTCGCGCGTAAGAGATTAAAAAATAATTTCCGCCCATGCGCGCACGTATTTCTTTTTTTATAATAATTTTAATAATCTTATCTTACGTAATTTACATTCATGGGAAGCACGATGTAAGAATGTTGTCTCTCGATTGGGAACATTTCTAAACGCAAAGTGAAAGTAAAAACATTGTCTTTGAAAGAACTATCAGAGTCAACACGTATACGCACTTAGGAGGGCAATTAGTCTCGATGAAGTTTCGATTTCAATCAATATGACAAAAGGTTAATTTCGCGCAATACTCATATAGTACGGTACAACGACAGATGTACGGTAAAAATAATGTATATCGGTCGTACCGATCATATTGGCATATATAACGGATATTTGCGTTCACCGGGAAAGATACGGTAATTGAGTATCGATATAAATGTCGATTCATCATTATCAATTATGCATAGAGCCTAGCTAATGGCCAATTATCTAGGAATTTTGATCGCCGGCTAACTTTATCAATTTAAAAAGTGAAAATCATTAATCTGTGCAAACGCGTTGATAAAATTCTTATGTGAATTTTCCCACGAGACTCATATATACGCTCGGACATTAAAATATCTAATATTTCTCACCGAGCGCCGGGATTTGCGACGTATGTATTTCCTATTAAAGTCCTCGTTGTGTAATACGCGTGTCAATCGAAATGCGTCATGCGGAAATAGTTGACAATTGTCGCGAACAGTTACGGGCACATAAATGCACGCGTTACGATACACGTACGGTAATGGTCGGGTGAGTAGCGTGTTTTGCATAACGATCGCATTTTATCTCGCGACATGCGCACACGCGTGACATATCGTTTATTAACACTGACACAATCGTTGTCACGATACCAATTATCCGGAGTCGCGAAAATAACCGCGCAATACGTAATGAGCAGGTTTCCGACGATCTGAGTCCAGCCGAATTAATGCTATCGGTAACATGAACGAAGTTATCTTGGATTACCCGGGTATTAAAATGAGTACCCGAATATTAAAATCGCAAGCAATATACTCGGAAACTAAAAATTGATAATACCCAAGTATTCTGATGAATTTAAAATCGCCGATAAATACATATTCCGATGTATTAATATACGTATATTTTTCATTAAATATAGCGCTCTATAATTAGTGGGGGTGAATTAAGAAACAGTAATATCCGAAATAACCAGGTAATAAACGAAAAATACTTGATGTATTTGGGTACTCGGATATCGACAGCATTAGGCGTATACCACTTGGACGCGCGCGACGATCCCTTATGAAGGTAAACGCGTACAGTAATAGTTTGGTCACGAGTTTACGAATAATGGCGACATTTTCGTAAGTATCGCAGCTATTTAAACCGGTTATCCGCTCGTTGAACGAGCTTATAATTGCGAGTCACGATTATAGCGATCTTATCGGTTCAGCGTTTGCCTGGTTTTTCCAAATAGACAGAAATTGCGCTCGATAACCCATAACCCTCAGTCTTCGTGACTTATTAAACGAATGCGTGGCGAAAAGACACCTGATATATACGCTCAATATTGTTGAGGCGTGTAAAACACGACTGCTTGATTCAAAAGTAACATTTGCTCTAAAACGACGTAAGACATATCCTTAGGGCGGCCAAGTGTACTAGATAGCAGCAAATCCCTTTTCCCATAAACTTTGCGGAAAAGGAGGAAAGGAGCATGGCGGCGCCGATCTCTAAGACCATTTCCATTTCTCTGTTGCAGAATAAAGCGGCGCCGTTGAGGAAAGGTCCTGCGAGGAAGTTCTGCGGCCGGACTGTAAATACGCGCTCCTGAGTGGTCTCGGGATTTATTAGCGTTATCTCGACCTCGCGGAAAAAGCGAGAGAAAGAAGTGCAAAGCGAGTAGAGGCAGGCACAGGAAGGAAGGAAGGAAGGATGAAAGGTGCTCGACTCTCTTCGAGATACATAAATCTCGTTCCTCGACCTCTGGAACGCGCGACTAGGAAAAGACGTATGAGAGGGCAGAGGAGGACCAAGGGGATGGGGGAGGGAGAGGGTAGAGAAGCGCGGCAGTATGCGAGGCGAGAGGAAGCGGCTTAGAGGAGATTTAGGAATTAGGAGAATTACGTCAAAGTGCCTGCTTACGCACGGCTACGTACGGCGAAGCGACACCGCGGCCGGGTAAGAAGAAAGTATAGGGACGCGCTCGGATTTACGTCCGACGCGTTCTCTTCCCTCTTCGTTGCTAGCAAGAAAGCGCCGCCATGCTTTCGATCGGTACCGCCGACCGATCTGGTTGACGGCAAAGGCAAGGAATGCGGGAGGAGTGTACTCTCTTAAATGGAATCGGTGTATTATCACTGATAAGCTGCAAACAGTAAAATTTCACAGAGAAAAAATCAGTTAGTGGCTGATTTTTCAGTGAAATTTTACCGCCATAATTAATGAAACAAGCTGGATGGAGCAAAGCATCAGTGTGTTTTCATAGGAGATCAGTGAGCACTTGAAATATTATTATTTATATTTTTATTAAAATTAATAAATATATTGGCTTTAATAAATTTTACGTTCGATCAGTTTAATTGTGAGCAATATATGTTAGCATAATTGTTGAGAATTAAAACAATACTTGAAACGTAAACAGATATATACAAGGTGTTTCAAAAGTGGAGTTCAATCGCTCGAGAAGTGATTGGGGACCCAAAAACAACAAAAAAAGTTGATATGAACATAATTGTTTTCGAGTTATCGCCATTTTTATGTTGAAATTTTAAATTGCTTTGCTTTCATATTTTTTTGTTCAAAATTGAAAGAAGAGATGGTTTGTATGAGTTTTATAACATAATTAAAGTCAAATAAAAGTTGCGGACTGCTTTAGCACTACCCGGGATAAAAAAAAGAGAAAGAAACCATAATAAAAAAAATACAAATAAAATAAGAAATGCATTAATACAAAAAAATAAATAAAATAAAATAAATAAATACAAAACCATCCCTTCTTTCAATTTTGACAAAAAAATTCAAAAGCAAAGCAATTTGAAATTTCAACATAAAAATGGCGATAACTCGAAAACAACGCATTTCCGAACCTATATTCATACCAACTTTTTTTCTTGTTTTTGGGTCTCCAATCACCTCCCGAGCGATTTACCTCCACTTTTGAAACACCCTATATAGTAGCATTATTTTCTATTTTAATGTCACTACTTGAAATCTCACTGCTTTAATCAGTGACATTTTTACTGATCCATTTTAAGAAAGTAGCGATGTGCGGGCGATTCTCGCTCGCCTATAGAAGATCGCTTTCGTCAAGTTAACCAGATCGGCTAGCCGGCGAACGACCTTTCCGCGATCATCCTCGACGTTCATTGGTGCATTCTTTTCACATGTACATTTGTGCGCGCACACATACACACGTGCGTCTACTAGACACGCATAATTGCGACTTTTTTTTTTTTTTTTTTTTTTTTTTTATTTGTTTTCATATTTTAGATGAATCTTCAATTGTAATACGTTTTTTTTTCTTTAACGTGCAGTCATT